TGTAGGTCTCCTGCCTCCTGCGTGCATGAGTGGGCTTGCCCAGCCCAGAGGGCAGTGAGCCCTGCAGGGTGTAGGACCTGAGCCATCTGCCCGTTCTCCTGTCCAACCCAGCCTGAGCCCAGCAGCCGCGGGTGTCGTTGGCTGATGGTCCCAACCCTTGCCTTCCTGCTGCAGATCGTGCTCTCCTCCCTCAAGCATGGCCTCTTTGGTGGGCAGTGGCTGCAGAGGGTCCGCTATGTCCGCTGGGAGGGTGTCTTCCGCTGCATCCCCATCTTCGGCATGTCCTTTGCCTGCCAGTCGTAAGTACCGCCCATTCCCAAGGGGCTCCGAGATGTGGACGTGTTCTGTGAGGTGGGGGTCTGATGCCGGGAGACAGGGCTGTGGGTTTTCTTTAACTGGATGCTACAGGCCACCCAAGAGTAATGTCTTGTTCCATTGTGACCTCTTCCCCCTCCAAGTTGAAGATAGCTGTTTCTATCCAGAGAGAAGTTGACTTTATCTGGGATATGTTGCCGGCACTGCTGGGTGAGAACCCTGGTTTGCCAAATCCCCACGAGAAGAGTTGGCTGTGGGCAACACAGAACAGCCCGAAACCATCTGATTCACAGAGTCCCAAGCATTTTGCCAGAATTTAGCTGTTCATGTGAGAATATTTAAAAGATTGCACAAACATTGACTTCAGACTGCTGCTGGGACTCTTTCAGAGGCCCGTGTGCATGCATGCAAGTGTGCTTCTCTCTGGCACACAGAGCTCTGTAAATGCAGACCAGGCTATTTTCATAATTCCAGCAACGTTACCCTCTCCACCAAAAGATGAGAGCCAGTGATTTGTGCCCGGTCAGAAGGGTGACCTACGCAAGAGATGTGTAAATCCAGCGTGGGCGGGAAAAGACCATCGTGTGGGGGCTTGGAGCAGGCCCCCGTAGCTCTAGTGGGCATGGATTTTGCCAGTCGTGAACTAACTTGACAGATAAAATTCGTCATACTGCTGTTCACACCCACATGTGAGATCCAAATCATCGTTTCCCACTTACCGTCTCTTGGCAGCTCGGTTCCCGCAGAACCTGCCCCACTCCTGCTGTTTAAAGTCCCCGTTACAGTCGATGACGGAAGTTACATTCTCGTACCGCGTACCTAGTTCCAGTTGTCTTTTTGTCTGTGACTTTGCCTTTTTAAGATGACCCCATGGTTGGGTTCTTGGGTGGTGGTCATGTGGCAGCCAACGTATGTCTGTTGGTTTGGCTCTTAGTTCAGATTATAGGTTCTGGAAGGGTCACGAGCACACCTCTGGTTCTGCTCACAGAGGGTGTCGGACTTGCAGATACACCCACATTCTCCCCACGGAGAGGCTGGTGAGGGGCTGTGCGGCTTGGTGTGGCCAGTTTGCTGGCCTCGCTGCCCCTGAAAGCATCCACATTTGCTGAGGGCGGAGCCGGGCCCTTCCCTCCCACTGGCTGCCCTGCTGTGCGTGCCGGGTGGGGCTCCTTGCTGCAGGGCCTCGGCCTTGCCGGCCCTTTCCGGTCTTCGTAGTAAATGAATACTTGGTGGTGCAGAACCACCGGGTCCTGTGGCCCAGAGAAGCAGCTGAGAGAGCGTGGAGCACAGAGGGCCTAGTTCACTTGGAGGCCTGGGTCTGTGCCGTGGGGCAGGTGAAGAGCATGGACAGGGCTGTGTGTGGAAAGCACCGTCTGACCCAGGTAAACTGAGTCAGGAGGCTCAGTGAGGTGGGTGGTCTGAATGCTCCACAGGGTGTGAGGCGGCACTGCTGTGGGGGCATGTGGCTCCCACCATCGGGGGTTTCTGGGGCATGGGCAGGATTGGAGGGGGCCAGCGCCTCAGCCTTCCCATTCTTTCCCATGACTGAGTGCCAAGCACAGCCTCTCCCCACAGTCCCTGACCCTGTGGCAGGGACTCCTCCCCGTGTGAGTGGGGGGCCGGGTAGGGAAGCCACTGTCCTGGGGTCTGGTGCTCCCCCAAGCTGGCAATCCCTTGGGTGGACCCTGCTCCAGCCCGAGAGCTGGCCAGCACTGAGATGTTCCTTTTCCCCTGTGGACCTCTGTCCTCTTCCTGGGCTACATGGGCATGTGGCTGCCTGCGGTCCTCCATTCAGGCCAAGGGGAGCTGTCCGTGGGTGACCCCTGTGTGCTGCAGGTGCCCTGACACGGGAGTGTGTGTGAGCTGAGGGAAACGGGGTCAGCCTCTACTGCCTGGCCTACCCCACGGCTCCCTGCAACCATGCCCTCATGTCACTTTGTAGAAGCTGGCATGTCCTCTCCTTTTTCTTTCCACATTTTAAAGGTGGTTTTGGAGTTTGGCCCCCTCTTGTGCTTGTCCACTTGCGGGCTGATGATTTCCCGCCCCTCCCAGCTGTGCTCCCGGCTGACTACCTGGCCCCGGCAGCAGGGGAGCCATGTCCGTGAGTGCAGGACACGACAACAGCAAGATGGACAGAGGCCACCTCTCCATGATTTGCTCTTATCACAGAGCTTGTCCCCTGCTTCCTTGTACGGGCACCCCTGACACAGCATCCTCCCCCACCATGCTCGCTGTCTGCCCGCTGCCCTCAGGGACCTGCTGTTTGCTCCCACCCCCCAGCAGTGGTGCACTGCTGGCCATGGGCCATGGGACAGAAGCCGCTCTTGCCCTACCCATGTTGGCTGTGGTCGCCTGTGCGGAGGCGCTGAGATGGGCGGGCGGCCCGGTCGGCTTATGTTTGTTTAACTTTCTGTTCATTCAACAGCAAGGCTCTGCACCGCTTCCTGCTTCCCCTGTAAACACGGCTGCCCCAACCCAGCCCAGCCCCCCCGGAGCAGTCACGCTCCTGCTTCCGTGGAACAGGCAGCCTTTCATTCTGTGGCACTTCTGAGATGTTTACAGAGAGCGCAGTGGGGAGGGCCCTGAGCACACACCGCGCATCTGTGGCTGTAGTATTGCAAAATCAAGTGTGGTGGGAAGTGTGGGGGTAAAAAGGGTGTCAGCCTCTTGGCCCGGGCCTGAGAATTACGCAGCTGGAGAGGGTGTGTCTTTCTCTGGAATCTGCTTGGTGAAGTCTCTTGTTTTCACACAGCCAGGTCCTGCCCACCTATGACAGCCTGGATGAGCCATCGGTGAAAACCATGAGCTCCATTTTTGCCTCCTCCCTCAACGTGGTCACCACCTTCTACGTCCTGGTAGGTACCTTTCAGGTGTCACTGGCAGTAGTGCCAGTGGGACATGCTTCCGGCCCCTTAGGAATAGACTCGGCTCTTGACCCATGCGGCTTGTCCTTTGCTCTCCCATCCCAGAGCCTGGTGGCCAAGGGGAAGAACCCCAGCAAAGTGCAGGGCTGGCCCTGAGCCTGCTTCTGCCCCGGGGTGTGGGGTCTCCCAGGCCCGGAGCAGCGCCTCCACACAGGGCCGGCCCTGGTGCGCCTCCCACTGCCTTGGCAAGACCTCTGCCAGCTCACTGCAGAGAGGGGCGTGGCCGCTCACCAGCCATGGGAACATGGACAGAACAGAGGATGAAAGCCTCGGGCCCGCTGTGGGCGCTCCCAGCGGCTGCTTCGGCAGGTGTCTCCCCGGTCTCCCTGATGGTCCTGTTTGTGTGCTCATGTTTCAAGTATGGTTGTGAACATGCTAAGACAATAGCTGTTCTCCTGCGCTTGGCGGTGGTCTGTGCAGGTCATCCTCGACACATAGTCTGTGAGGGAGCACCATGCCCCCCGCGGTTCCCTGGTGCAGGTTCTGAACAGATGAAGATGGGCGCTCTGTGGGACATGCTGGGCATCCTGGGGCTTCTTCTGCATGCACACAGCTCTTGGGGTCTGCTGTCCTTGTGGAAAGCCCTGCCCAACCCCCACCTGCAGGCTTAGCTGTCCAGTTATCAAGGGAGGAATTTCATGAGCCAGGCATCCAAGGGACATCACAAGCCTCGGATGTGGCTGAAGCTGCGTGCGAGGCAGCTCACAGGCTGTTTGGGGCCTGCCACACGCTCCCGCCTTGTCCTTCCGCAGGTGGGGTTCTTTGGCTACGTGAGCTTCACGGAGGCCATTGTGGGCAATGTGCTGATGCACTTCCCCTCCAGCCTGGTGACCGAGATGATCCGCGTGGGCTTCATGATGTCGGTGGCCGTGGGCTTCCCCATGATGATCCTGCCCTGCCGGCAGGCCTTGAACACACTGCTTTTCGAACAGCAGGTAAGGTTCTCGAGGCCCTTCAGGTGACATTTTGCTGGGAAATGTTGTTTTCCTGATCTCAGTTATGTTCTCTTCTATCAGGTTTTGCTCATGCTTTGTTTCCTGGGCAGTGGTACAGGGAGCTTTCCCTAGTTAGAAATAAAGAAGCTTCAACTAAAATGAAATCTTTAATTTTTAAAAAACACCAACTTTAGAGAAAAGAGACAGCGCCAGAACAAACAGGGACGCATTCACACAAGGGACATGGAGTCAGGTCCAGGGTCCAAGCAGGCTAGGGCTGTCCCCTCTGAGTTCCCAGCTATGTTGCTGTCATCCTGAAATCAGAGAAGCAGCAGGAAATTGGGGGCTTGCCTCAGCGCAGCCTTGGCGGGGGAGGAGTTGGGGGGAGCCTGCAGGAGCCGCCTCAGTTGGCAGGAGCTGATAGTGGCCTGGTGGGCAGGTGGGCTCTATTCTCTATGTTTGTGTAACTAACTGCAAATTTTAACGGTTTGACAAGAGCTGTCTGAGCCGTGAGAGAGGCTGAGTGTCCCTCACTGTCATGTGCAGGCACGGCGCTGCTTAGTCCTTTTACAAGTCTTCAAATGTGCGGGTTGGAACCAAAAGCTTCCCAGGCTCCCTGTTGTTGAGAGGAACAGAAGGTGCCCGTGTACTAGCTTGTGCACAGGACCTGGGGGTCTTGGAGCCCATGGGCCCTCGGCATTTTTCCTGTGGCAGGGTCCCACGTCCTGCTCCGAGGCCTTGAGCCTGGTCCGTGGCATCCGCCAGGACTCGTGGTGGCCACACAAGTTCTGCCCGAACTGCTTAGGCCTCAGGGCCGGGGGACGTGGTCCAAGAGCTCTAGGTGACAGGCCAACAGCCAGACTGGGAGGGTGGCTCCTGGGCTCTGAAATAGCCAGGACGGGGCTTGCCTGTCCACCACCAGAGACAGTGCCTCATGCCAGAGGCTGGGCCCTAAGGGACGGGCAGCCCCTACTCAGGCGCCACTGCGGCGTGGTTCAGCGCCTTGTCCCTTGGGGAGGGGGCCAGCTTACCTGGCTGTGGTCTCCTCCTTGATGGCCTGGCCCAGCCTCTGCCCTGTGGGCTGCTGACTGCCATCGTTCACTCTTTGATGCGAGCATGCACTTTGTATCTGAACAGTGTTTGTTTCTGCACATGATACATTTTTATCATTTTTTAAATTGGAAAATCCACAGTGGCATTAGAGGAAATGTTAAACCAAGAGAGAATATTCACGGGTGTCCCTTCATTCCCCCATGGACGACCTGGCGTTTGTGTCTGTTTCACAGAGTTCCTCTCACTGTGTTTTCTCCCATCTTTGTCTCCATGGAAATCCACAGCGTCTGCGCTGCGCTCTCTGCTCTCTCAGCTTTCATGAGATGTTCTGTTTGCGGCGGGTCTTTCACCCTTGACCCACTGGGTAACTTCCCATGACCTCCTCCTCTCCTCTAGGGGAACTGGGTAAATTCTAGTGCAGGAGTCCCTGGGTTAAAAAGGGAGCCTGTGAAAGCCCTCCTTGCAAGACTGGGTATGAGCCATCATCCTGACGTTGATCAGAAATTCTGGCTCCAGCACCCTTAGCCCACCCTGAGAAAGCCACCTGTGTAAAAGCCTGTTTGGGAAATTAGGTGCTTTGAAAATATGGTTCTGGAAGGTTCTGAAGCCTCACTTGAGTGTTTTCCCAGCCCAGGAATTGTAATCACGGTCGGCCTCTTATGTACCTGACACTGTTCCAGAAGCTTCAGTGCTGTCTTCACAGCCTGACAAGGTGCTTCTGATATCCCCATGTTTATAGGCACAGAGGACCAGGGACTTTGGGTTTGGTCACTCTACAGCGTGTCCTCCTCTGGTCTTCTTCCCGGGCTGTGCGTCACGCATCTGCCAGAGGGAAGGACAGCTAGCATGTGTGGGTGTAGTGGGGGGCTGTCTGCTGCACGCTGACACCGTGGGTGCCGTCCTCTGTGCCACGTGGCACTTGCTCCAAAAGAAAGACGGAAGGATCGCTGATAACCTTTGGGATGAGGGCGCAGCACTCACCCCTGTGCAGGCTCCAGGGGCAGCTCACACTGGGGTTGCTTGGCCGCATCTCACTGTGCGCACAGGGTTCTCCTGCTGGCCTCCCATGTGCTCCCAGGGGCGTTGGCAGAGCCCTGGAGGGCTTGCTTACAGGAGCCCGGTAGAGGGCAGTCCTTTCAAAACCTGTGTGTTTGTTTTTCTTTCTCGCAGCAGAAAGATGGGACCTTTGCGGCTGGAGGCTACATGCCCCCTCTGCGGTTCAAAGTGCTCACCCTCTCGGTTGTGTTTGGAACAATGGTCGGAGGAATCATGATCCCAAACGGTGAGCAGGGGGGCTGCCCCGGTGACCGCCCACCACCGGTCCTTCCCACTGCCCTGCTCTTCTCCATCCTTGCTGTTACGTGTCAGGACCTAGGCTGTCCCCACCTTGAGTCCCAACATTCAACCAAGACCCCTCGAATCTCCTGCCATCCTCTCTGGTCTCCTTAAAATGTCTAGAAGCTCTCAGGTGATTTTTTCTTTGGTGCCCTGAGAAAGGCATGGGACACCTGAGCAGCTGACCCTGGGCAGCAAGCTGTGCAGAGACACAGGCCCGGTGCCTGTGAAGCAGCTCTGTCCTTCCTGTGGACACACCACCAGGGGAGGAGATGAAGGCTCTGGGCCTGTTCCCGGCAGCCAGAGCGAGCTTGTCAGCAGGCCTTGAGGGGAGCCTGCAGGTGTCCTCCCCAGGGAGCAGCCCCGGGGCCTCCGCACTCCAGGCCGTGGCTTCTGTGCACAGCCCAGGACAGTCCTGCTTGATCAGGTGCCCCCCTGGCTGTTCCCAGGACTCACCCTGTGCTGTGCTCGTGGGAGACACTCACCCCCACTGCCTCGTAGGACGTGGCATCCCCATGTTTGCAGAGGAGGAAAGGCTGGCTGCCACCACCCGGGGATGGAGTGGTGTTGGTTCTGTTTTGCTGGTGAGGAAACCAAGGCAATAGAACTTGGCCAAGATGCCACAGCTGGAAAGGGCACCCCCGGGCTCACACGGGCTGACCCCACACTGTCCTCTACCCCTAGGTGTCTTGTGGGCACAGAGGGCTGGGCTCCTCGCTAAAGTTTGGAGGCAGGTGTAGCTAGGCCTCAGACAGGGCCAGCCCACCTGGGTCTGCGCTCACTGCTTATTGCCACTCTTGTCCCAGTGGAGACGGTCCTGGGCCTCACGGGCGCCACAATGGGGAGCCTCATCTGCTTCATCTGCCCGGCGCTGATTCACAAAAAGATACACAAGAATGCGCTCTCCTCCCAGGTGAGTGCTGCCTGCGTGCGGCGCCTCGGGTGGGGCGTGGGGGAGGCCGTGCTCTCAGGTAGGCGCTGGGGGCCAACTGGGAGCTTCTTAGCACTTGGTCCCAAAGGCCTGGGAAACTCGGGGTTCAGCCAAGGCGAGGGGTCTTTGCACTGTGGGGCCACCCTGTGTGCATGGGTATGCATACGTGTGTGTGTGTGCACTTGGTGGGGGGTTTCAGGGCCTAACATGTGGTGTCACCCCAACTTACTTGTCTGAGGGCCAAATACTGAACAGCTCTCAGCTTTCCCCAAATGTGTGGCTGGGTGGTGACTGGATAACTGTGTGTGTGCTCACACTCCACATCCCTCCCCACTTCTGTCCCCCTTCTCAGCCTCCCACTGTCTTGCTAGGGACTGTCTCTGATGGAGCCACCCCTCCAGTCTTGCGCTGTTGCAGAGACAGTCATGACAGGTGTCTGTGCGCAGCTTTGTGATGGATTTGAGGGTGAATCATAGGAATCTTTCTGGAAATGGAATCCCCAGGTCAGCGCGTGTGGCCGTGGAGGCCCTTGCCCGGTGTCCATGAGGAGTTCCACCGCTGACACTGCATGGCTGAGCACAGGCCTCTTTCCCCATCATCAGCCTGCGGTGGAAACTCTACTTTCCTTGTGTTGAGAAGCCACTGTGTTTCTTTTTCTGTGATCTGTCCATGCTTTCCGCCCACTGTTTATGAATTATTGACCTTTTCCTTATTGATATATCTGGTACACTTTCTAGAAGTCTAATGTGCACACAGCAAAGCACGTAGTCTCACATGCAACTTGATGAATGAACGCAGCCATGGAACCACTGTCCAGGGCAGCCATAGAACATTCTAGCACCCAAAGCTCCCTTGGGGGTGCCTCACAGTCTTCCCTCCCCAGAGGTTTCTGCTTGGCCCTCTTCCCACGCTCTGCAGTAGTTTTGCCTGTCCATCACGGTGGTGGAAACGGTCCTATGCATCTGGTCTCCTTACTGAGCCTCGTGTGAGGTCACCTGTGTTATGGCAGGGGGAGATAGCCTGCCCCTTCTCACCGCTGTGTGGCATCCACTGTCCCCCGGGGCAGACAGCATCCTCCGCTTTTGGTGCACGTGTGTGTGTCTCTGTGGGCGTTTCACATAGGCAGGGAATTGCCAGGGGTTATGTCTGCCCAACCTTAGATTCTGCCAGACTTTTTCTGATTTTCCAAACCTGTGCTTAGGCACCATGTTAGAATTTCAGTTGCCTTTACTCTCCTGTCCCTCGTGCACACTGCATGTTGGTTTTCATTTGTGATTCCCAGTGGCTGATGACGTGGAGCACCTCCATGTTCTCGGCCGGTGCTGCCTTCCTGTTTGGATGCAGCTCATGTCCTGCCCGTTTTTTGTCTATTGGGTTGTCTGACTTTTTCTTACTGATCTGTGCACTTTTTTCAGAGGTTCTCAATAGGAGTCTTTTTTCAGAAATATATATAGCCAATGTCTTTTCATACTCTAAGCTGCCTTTTCACTTTTGTAATGATACTTTTTGATCAGATGTTTTTAATTTTAGTGTAGTTCATTCATTGATCTTCGTTTGCAGGGGGCTTTTTATGTACCATTTAGGACATTTTTGCTTATTCCAAGGCCCTGAAGGTAGTCTCCTATCCTGTATTCCTGAGGCCTTTCATTTCATCTTCGACTTATAGATCTGCCCTCCATCTGGGATTGGGCGGCATGAGGCGGGGTGAAGGTTTGTCTCTGTGTGGTTCTCTGGTTGGTCAGCATCCTCCTTGCTGGCAGCTTCTTAACGAGTCCTGATGTCAGGCAGCAGAGTCCTCCGACTTCATTCTTCTAAAAGGTGGTCTTTCTTATTGTTGGCCCTTTCTTTGCATTTCCAACTAAATTTTATAACTGACTTATCAGCTTCCTCCAAACAGCCTTGTTGCATTTCGATTGGGGTTGCAGCAAAGTATAGGCTGAAGAATTGACACTGTCATTCAGTTCATAAGTTCCTAATTTCCCTTGTTATCTCTTCTTCCCTCTGTGGCTTATTCAGGTTTCCAAACTTTGGGGGATTTTCTAGTAATCTCCCAGTGTGACTGGAGAATCACTGAAGGATTCTAGTTCTTTGACGTTTCTGAGCATCGCTCGGAGGCACAGAGCGCGGTCCGTTCCGCCAGGCACGCCGGCCGCACAGTCTGCGGTTGTTGGGTGTGATGTGTTGTGAGTGGTTAGGTCTGGCTTATCCACTGCATTTTCAGATTTTACCTGTTCTTACTGATGTTTTTTAATCTTATTATCAGTTAGAATGGTATGACAAATCCCACTGTATTACAGATTTATTTCTCCTTTTAGTTCTAGCAATTTTTAGTTTTTATTTTGAAACTGTGTTATTAGAACATACAGTTTCATGATGGTTATATCTTGTTAAACTGATCCTTTTTCTTGTGAAGTGTCCTTTGGAAGTACCTCTCTTCCTAAAGTCGGCCTTGTCTGAGGTAGTGTAGCCAACCCAGCTTTGTTTTGTGTTTATATTTGCACTCTTTAGTCTTTCTTACCTTTTCTCGTTTGATCTCTCCATGCCTTATATTTACTGTGTATATGATGAATAATGGTGTATAGTTGGCTTTCATTCTATTTTGTTTTTGTCCAGTTTGTTAACAGATATTTAAGACTATATGCAGTTGATGTAATTACTGATTCAGGGGATTAATGCTTCTGTCTTAGTTTTTGTTTTTTATTATTCCCTCTGTGCTTTTTTTTTTCTTTCTTGCCTTTTGAATAAATCAAGCATTTTAAATGTTTATTTTTTATTTCTCTGTTAGCTTTTGTACACTTCTGTTCTAGTGGTTATACAAGGCAGTTTAGTATGAATTCTTGGTTTATTAGAGTTGACTGTAAATTAGTTTTTTTTAACCACTTCTCAGACAGGGCAAGTATCCCACAATATTTTAACTCCATTTACTTCCTCTGGTCCTTGGTGCTATTGTTTTTTTCTGTTGTATTGGCATAGCTTGGTGTAATTTAGACACCACCCAATCATTATTGTTGTTTCAATAGTCAGTATTTAGTCATTGATCCTTCGTAGCTGCTTGGTTTTCCGTCACTTGGTCGCATCTCCTAGTGTGCTTGGTAGTTTGTGGACATTGTGTTTGAGAAATCAGAGAGGTCTGGATGATTCTTCATGCCACAGACAGGGTACACAGAGGCCTGTGTCTGGCTGGGCAAGTCTGTTTCTGGATTCCCCTCACTCCTAGGGTAGCCCTTCCAGGCTCAGTGAAATGCCATCGCCCTCAGATTGCTAAATTCCCCGCTTACCTTTCATCCTCAGCAGCTGATCTCTCCACCGTCCTGGGGCTGGTCGCTGGCCTGCACCTCAGGAGACCCACACACAGAACATGGGCACCCTTCTCTGAGGCCTCCTGTCTTCCAGGACAGTGGTCCTCAAGTTCTGCCCCCCCCCCTCCTTACCCCTGCTGCCTGCCTGTGCATCCTGTGGCCTCGGGCCCTGGCCCTGCCACCTTGTGCCCTGACCACTGGTCAGGAGGAGCCCGGACTCACGGGGCCCCCACTCTCACCTCTGGGGTCTCAGTGGCTGAGGTTGTTCGCTGGTGTCTTCAGTTGGGTGGGTTTAGTGGGGCAGAGGAACTCTTCATAATGTGAGGAAATTCACCAGATTCCAAGTGTTTACCCCCATTCATTAAGTCCCAGTGTTTTAGACTCTCTTTTTGGAAAAAATGTCATCGTTAGAAAGACCTTCCTGTTGCAAAGTTACTTTAAAAAACTCCCCCCTCAGTTATCCTTGAGTATTTTCATGACTGCATTCTTTCATTTAAATCTTTGATCATCCGCATTTTATTTCGCTGTGAAAACAAACAAAAGCAGGTGCCCAAAGTGTTTCAGGGCCGCCAGTTGTCAGGACGCTGTTCATCCGCCGCTGATACGGAATGTTACTGCTTTCATGTGTTAAGTTCTGTATGCATCAGGACTAGTTTGGGACATATCTTTTAAATTCCTGGCTGGCCTGTCCAGTCGTGCAGCCCCCACACTGCTTTGATTACCACGGCTTTGCAGTAGTGCTCCCCGCACTGTGACGTGTCGCTCAGAAAACATTTTAATCTAATCCCACTTCTTCACGTTTATTCATAGTGTTTCTGGATGTTTTTGGTCATTAATTTTCCCATGTGAATGTTTGAATCAGCTGACCTGACTTAGCAAAAACAAATGCATCCTTTTGTTTTTTGGTCTAATTGGAATTTGTTGAAGCTGCAGGTTGACTTAGAAAGAGTCGTGTCTGGCTCCCCTGCGGTGTCTTGCCGGCCCCCCTGTGCAGTGAGAGGGCGCAGTGCCCCGTCAGGCCATCCCCTCTTCCTCTCTCCCTGCCTCCTAGTGCCACACCTGCTGGCCTTGTCTGTGCTGCCGGCCCTCCCACCGCCTTGCCTGCCTGGAGGCACGGAGGGAGGCTGCAGGCTTTCGTGTCAACTTTTTACCCATTTACCGTGCTGAACGCTTACGGTGTCTCCTGATAATCCCCTTTACCTTGCCAGTTGTCAGGATTTTGCTCTCTCTCGCCTTGAGTTGCCTCGTACCTCCAGCCATGGCGCTGGCAGGGTGAGGGGCCAGCTTCCAGCATTCAGCCTGGAACGTGTTGAGCCTAATGCTGGCATTTGGCTTCGTGTATAGAAATGGATGTGCGCATCCACACACCTCCACGTGTATGCAGATGTAAACACACATAGGGTAGCGTTAGAGAAGCATTTGTGCCCTTTTAAAATATCTACAAAATATGTTGAATTGCATTATCTACTTTTTGGCCATGCTTGGAGAAGACAGTAAAGTGCCTCCCTCTGACTTAGTGTCCTGGCAAATCACATTGCGAGTCACATCGCAAGTCAGCTCTAGAATGGACCATCTGACTGTGATGTACTTTCATATGCGCTGCTGTGTTTTATTTCCAAACTTGTAGCTGTAATGTTTTGAGGAAGATGAATCTTCCCAGGATGCTGTGGGAAGCATGGCTGGAGTTTGGTGTGCATGGGCCTGGAGGGCACCAGGTTGGTGTGTCTGGGCTCCGGCTGCTGCCCCCATAGAAGGCAGACCCGGAGGCCCGGAGTCCACTTGCCCAGCCCGTCTGAACACTCCTTAGCATGGCAAGCTTGTTCCTGGCCATGGACTTTGAGCAAAGCCAGAAAAGGTGGGTGGGCATGGGTCATGGGCACGTTGGGGCTGGGCTGGGCAGGATGAGAAAGGACTGTTCTGAGAAATGCCCCAAGAAGAATAAGCAAGAGCCGTGGAGACAACTGGCCCTCTGTGAATCAGAAGAAGCCTTAGCTACCGTCACATGCTCCTCCTGTACCTTGAGAGTCAGATTGGATGGTCCCTCCAGCCCTGACCTTACATGGAGGAGCCGGTCTGCCCCCGGATTGGTGTGCTGTGGCCTGGCAGCCAGCAGGGGGAGCGGAGCCACTGGCCGCCGGGAGAATAGGCTGAGCCCCAAGTCCGGCTGGGGTGCTGAGGGCACAGCCTGAGCCTGCCCAGCGTGCACCATTCTCGCAGCAGCCTGGAGGCCCACCCTGTGCTCCTGAAAGACATAAACATGCACCGTGACTTGCAGGCAAGTGAGCCGCCAGCGGGTTGGCCTCCTGACCTTGCCAGAGCACGCTACCTGAGGCCCTCAGGGCTGGGGTCTGCGTGGGGCCAGGTGTCTGTCAGACTGCGGCTGCACTGACCTGGAGACACGAATCAGGATGCTGGCAGCAGGGTGACTGGGCCTGCCTCCAGGTATGTGTTTCCGTGCTGAGGTGCAGAACTGGACTCGTGTTCTGTCCAGGCAGCCTGGCGTGCTGCTCATGGACATGACCATGTCCATCCCCACATGTACGCTTCCCTCTGCTTTTGAGTCAGAGCCTCTGGCACACCTGAGGCCACACTCACAGCTCACCCCGGGCCCTGGTTTCACCAAGCCTGGGGTGACACGTCATGGCGTGTTTGCGTTTCTCCCCACGGCAGCCCTGCCTCCCCATTAAGGAGGATGAAAGCCAGCAGGGGTCCCTGAAGTGAGCCGGCACACCAGCCATGCTCGTCCCTCAGCCCATTTCAGAGCAGCTCTTTGGGTTTGTAGAGAGAGTACCTGGAGGGCGCACGCCAAAGGGCAGGCCTCAGGGCCTCAGAGGTGAGATGCGCCCAGGCCCAGACTGGCTCCACGACTGGCGGGCACAGCACTCGGCTCCTTCCAGGACCCACGCCGCTTCCTTATTCAGGACTTTGGACATGATCAGCCCTGTGTGTGCACACCAGCAGTCAGCCTTCCAAACCTGGGCGGTAGAATAGGAGCCTGGGAGCTCTGGCCCTCCCCCGATGCCCCAGGTCTGAGCTGGCGGGCCTGCAGCTGGCACATTGTTGTCATGGCTGCCTCTGCAACTTGGGTGGTTCCTGAGTTCTTTCCAAGTGCCCAGCTCACCTAGAGTGTCTGACGCTGCCACGTGGGCCATATTCGTGCTCCCACACGGGCTCTGATTGACTCTGGCTTCCCAGCGTGTTCCTGCTTGTAGACTGATGTCACTGCCTGGGCCATCACCTGTGGAACAAGGCCTGCTCGGTGTCCAGCAGGAAGGACCCACAGCGTCCTCCTGACACCTGTGGGGCACTCACCCTAGAGCTCTGGCTTCCTGCCTGGGGTACTCATGTGTCTGTGGTAGTTCTTCCGAGTTGAGGGCGACAGTGGGAAGCTTAGATGTGCTATCTGCTACGAGGGTCAGCTGACCAGTGGGCCACTCACACAGTCAGTGGCAGTCCGCTGGTGAGTGCTCCGCAGAGCCCCGGGGTGGCTTGCGAGCCAGGTGTGTCAAGACAAGTGGGGTCCTGGCACAGGTGGGGTGGGGACTGCTTCGGGGTAGGAGAGGGTTGGTGGGGTCTTTGTGGACGGGGTGGGCCAAAGGAAATGCTCCACAAGTGCGGGTGCTCCACAAGCGTCTGGGCCATGGCGGTGGCCGGAGTGTGCATGGCACCTGGGGGGCCTGGTCCATTTTCTGGAACTTCCTGGTGCTGTGTAGGCACTTCGTGAATCGATCTTAAGTTGATGCTCTCCGGACTTCTCCAGGAAGCTTGCTGTCTCCTAGCGTTGACAGAGTTGACGTTTCTTATTTTGCATGCAATTTTGTCTGTTAAGCCAGAAATCTGAGGGTTGAGATAAATCATTCAGTTACGGATGAAATGTCTGTTGCTTGTCAGTCTCCCATGAAAATATGATATTCCCATAAAAATAACCAGACATAAACTGACCAACCAAATATCTTCTTCTTTGTGTCAAAACTACTTTCAGGGCCACGCACATCATGGCTGGGGGTGTATGGGGGTTCCGCTCCTGCCCCCAGGTGTGGTGAAGCTCAGGCGCTGTCCTCGGTGTCCCCCGGACCTTGCCCCCAGCCGGTGGCAGAACAGGGCAGGGCCTCTCTGTTTCCCTTTGAAGTATGTAAGGACTCTCGCTCGGGTCTTGTGAGTACCCCCTCCGCGCGGCTGGAGTCCAGGTCAGGAGGTGGGTTTTTGTTGCTCCTGAGCAAGGTCATTTCTGCCATCAGCTGGAGGCAGTTGGAGGCAAACATACAATGAAAAAGATTTAAAGTTTCTTTCTTTTAAAATTTCTTAAAAGTACTTTGGTTACCTCCAGACACCATTACTGCCACACAAATTTTTCCTTCATGGTAAGAAGCTGATCTTAGGGCACACAGCTGACGCTGGGCTTACACACACTTTAAGAAAATAATTTGGGGCAGGGGCTCTTGACCCTGAGCTGTGCATTTTAGAGTCTGCAGACGGTGCTTGGACCTCAGGGGCACAAATCAGTGAGGACCCCACATGCACTTTGGGCAGCGCTGCTGGTACCTGATCATGGCCAGCTGATGGGCACTGCTGGGGGGTTCCACGAGTCACAGGCTCTGTGCCCAGGCCTCCTAAGCCGTGGCTGACCCCAGGCGCCTTTGCAAGTGTAGCGCCAGTGCAGTGTCTGCAGAGTGGCAGTGAAGGAAGGAGACTTACAGCTGACCCATCTGCTTGGTCAGTGCCCACCTTCCTCTCTTCCTGGGGAAATCTCTCTTCTCCAATTGTGTTGGATAATTTTGAAAGTGTCAATGTGCCTTTCAAAAAAGGGTTTGAGTTGTGGCTCTGAGACTGCATGGAAGGGCGGGGTGGGCCCCAGCTCTTCAGGCAGGCAACCTCCTGGCCCTTCCTGCACACTCTGCAGAGCCAGGGTTCTGCTCCCTGGGGAGGGCCGGGCCAGGCCGGGCCTCAGCACCCCCATGGCGGCAGCATCTGTCGTGTGTGTCCTGAAGTGGCAGCAGCGCAGGAGACAGAGTTGCGTAGCTCGGGGTTTGTTGTGCTGCACGCCTGGGCAGCATTCCGTCTCAAGAGAGTCGGGGCTGGGCAAGGCCCCCGACAGTCACCGGGAGCCCCAACGGGCAGCCACGGTGGAGGAGGGTGAGGAGCCACCTCCCCTGTCTGCTCCTGGCCGCACTGGGCATGTTGGCTCACTGGGTGGTGCTGGGAGACAGGTCATTTGTCACGGGGCTGTGAGGGGCTGGGCACTCAGTGCCTAGGCCCTGTACACAGCTTCTGGGTGAATGGGTGGCCTGCAAGGGTCCCTGCAGGTTGGGCAGTTGCCCCAAGACTTGCTCTTCTAGCAGAAGCTGTCAAGGGCCCACCCTCTGCAGCCATCGGTGCTGGTGGGTCCAGCCACCAGGCTACCTGGGAGACCTGTCAGTGGAATGAGTTTCTGCCAGTCAGTGGGCACCTCTCTGCCAGTGCTCCTGCCCTCAGGCCCCCTTGGGCTACCGGGCACCACTCCCATCGCCAGCATGCTCCAGCTTGTTAGCCTGAGGCTTCAGTCCTGGCACTCAGTTGGAGACCACTGTCTCCTGGCCATCGGTGTGGGGGACAGGCAGGCAGGACTGTGGCCTGTGTGTGGTTTGCAGCCTGGCCCCTCCTGCCTCACCAAGGCGGCTTTGTGCCCATGTGCTGCCCCCTCCCTGGGAAGGGCAGAGCATGAAACATTGTGACCCTCTGCTCCCAGGTCTTTGTCTCGTGCAGGTGGTGCTCTGGGTCGGCCTGGGCATCCTGGTGGTCAGCACACATACTACCCTGTCTGTGAATGAGGAGATCCCAGTGGACTTGGCAAAGGAAGTTCCGGGTGGCCAGCTTGGAGAAGCCGACAGTGCAGTGAAGGCAGAGGCAGCCCGGCTGCCAGGTATGTGGCTGTCAGGCACCCACACAGCCCCCCAGCCCACAGCCTTCTCAGGGCACCCAGTTGTGTGACCTCGGGGTCATGGGGACACAGGTGGTGCTTCCCAGGTTGTCTCGCCTACCCAGCTGCCTCTGTCGTTTGTGTGATGGAGTGGGGCATGGGGTCTCCAGGGGCTGGTGGGCCACCTGCATGCAGGGGACAACTGTGGACAGTGGACACAGCCCGGCGGAGCGTGCAGTGCCCACCATTCAGTGCTCTAATATGTAAGTACATTTGTGGGTGTCGCTTACATTTGTTTGTTTTGAGGATGTAAATTTTGATCCGGGTTTCATCTGCACAAAGTGCGGGCCACCCCTCAGTTTTGCCTCCTGTTTCATGGTCTTTCTTACCTGTTGACTGCTTGCTGAGTGTGGTGACCCACACCCACTCGTAGCTGCAGTGCTGTGGTCCCATGGCTCCATCTGTGGTCATGCCCACAGAGTGCAGAGTGGTTTCTGGGGTACAGCAGGGGCTCCCTTGTGTCTGGGGATGGCTGGGGAGAGAAGAGGCTTTTCAGGGCCTGTGGCCTGTGCAGCATTGACGGGAGGGCTGCAGGGGAGGCCCTGGCATGCATTGAGGTCACCAGGCCGCCCGCCTGGCAGGCCCCTCTGGGCATGTGCTGTTTGCTGGTGGGATTCACGTGCCTTTTGATGGTGACGGCTACAGAGTGCCTGTTCTGGGTGGAAGCCCAGGCTCCCCACCAGCCTGACAAAAGAAAAGGTCCAGAAGGCTGGTGGGAGAGGCAGACGTGCCCCGGGTACTTGCTGGGACTGCACCACCAGCAACGGGGGCACATGGCCCTCGGATTTGTTGCCATCTCCATCCTGTGCTTGGAAAGCCCTGGCCAGCCTCTGCACCCACACAGACCTTGCTGAGGGAGAAATTCTCTTCTCAGAGAGCCCTGTGCTTAGCCCACTCTCTCTGCCTGCTGGGATAGTGGTGGCTGGAGAGGAGATTCTCCCTGTGGGGTTCTCTGCAGAGGGGACCCCAGGAGTACCAGGGTCCGCCAGAGAAATAGGTCAGAGTGGTCAGAAGCTGCCTGGGTGCCCACGCTGAGTTGCGTGGATTTGGTAACTTGTCCACCTGAAGAGATGTGGATGTGTGCCCACCCGTTGACAGCCCCGCTGGGGCCTCCCCTCGGACACGCAGGCCTGTGCATGTGGGGCCCTGGCAGAGCTGGACTCAGGTACCCGCTTCCATCTCAGGCGGTGGCAGGCCTGTTGGCCATGGGTTTCTTGGTGCTGGGCAGCAGTTCCCGCAGCGCCGTGTGGCCTGCAGTCCGCTGCCAGTGTGAGCAGCTGCATCCTGTCGTGGAGGCGGGGCCTGCTCACCTGGAGCCCTCGGCGGCCACATCTGGTTTCCATTTCTTCCACGAGACTGTAACAAAACACATGGCCCCTCTCGGAACACATGCTGGATGTTTGTAGCGCGGTCTCCGTTTCTCTCGCCCCCAGCCTCCCCTGTAATTGATGGGTTGCCTGCAGCAGAGCTGGGCCCACAGGGGCCTTCGCTGTGTGCCCCATCCAGCCTCTGCCCGCTGTCATGTGAGCGGGTTTCTTTGGTGTCTTTGATGTCACAGAGGCCTAAACGGTACTGACTGTCCTCAGAGCCCCCGAGGCAGCCCTGGGACTGATAGGAGTCCTGCCCCTGCCCCCTGCCAGCACGTGTGAGCCCCACACAGGGCCCTGCCTGCTCAGAGCACAGAGCCAGAGTGCCTGTGAGGCGACCAGCGGTTGCTGAGGCTTGCGAAGGCCCATGAGGCAATTATCCGTTATAAAGGCTAATTAGGCCGTTTATCTGGTGTTTGATAGTGCCCTCGGGGTCTGCCAGGGCTGCCAGATTTTGTGACACTTTCTGCTCCCTCCTTTGAACGCGGCCGTGTGCCCTTCCTTCCTTAACTTCCCTGTGCCTGCACCCCTGTCTCATGATGTCAGGAAGCAGCCTTGGTCCCCACCCAGCCGTGCTTCTGCTCCCTGCAAAGAAGAGGACGGGCAGGACAGGCTTCCAAGCGCCCGGCTGGAGAGAGCGCCAGGCCTTCAGGGGCATGGGAGGCAGGCCTGCAGGTGGCAGCGTCTGTGTGTGCCTATGCAGCTGGCAGATGGTGGCCATAGGCCTGGGCGGGAGCCCACCACTGCCCCCTCTGCTCCTGCATCACCTCTCCTGAGGATCTGCCCCAGGGCCGTGCACACCAGCTGCGCATGCACACAAACAAGAACATGTCCTAACTCCTGCAGCAGATGTAGGGAGCCGCGCCTCCCAGCCTCTGCCCCCTCTCCTCGCCTCAGAGAGCAGCCTGGCCAGCAGCCCCTGTGCCCTGTTGGGAGGGGCTGCCACCTGTCTCTGCTGTGCCACAGGCCTCCTGCCTCTGGAGGCTTCTCGTGTCAGGATGCAGCAGTGAGCTCATTTCACCAGCCCAGCCGAGACAACTGCAGCCGGACTTAGAAGGGCCCCTCGGTGGCAGGGAGGGGGCGCTGCCTCCATGATGCGCCCTGAGGAACCCGGGCTCACCCTTGTGGGTCCTGCACCCCCACACTGGCCTCCACCTGCTGTCCTGGGCAGATGCACCTGTTGGCGGAAGCGTGAGGAGTGAATCAGACTTGTGCCACCTGGCCGGGACACTCAGATCCAAGGAGCTCAGATCCAAGGAGCTGTTGGGATTCCCCATACTGGGAAAGATGAGCAACCATAATAGCCAAGGTTTCCCCTGCCAGCCATGCCAAGAAGAGTGGGTTCAACAAAGCCTTAGCAAGTGACCCTTCCCCATGGCAACACCAAGGGCAGGGGCTTCAAAGGAAAGGCAGGAATCAGATTATCAGCAGTGTCACCAAAAACCAGGGCCTGGCCTCTTAAAGGATTCTCAGTGGGCCATCTTGCTGTGCAGGGACATGGCCCTGGGGTCCTGCATGTCCCTCGAACTTGGGGTTCTCTGGTTGACAGGAACTCCACTGTGTGACTCAGGTGTAATCTTAAAAGTCACTTTATTTTGGTGCTTAGCAGTCTGAGATGACTGCTTCCACCTTTAATGATCGCAAGACATAGGGAGGGACTGGTCGATGCTGGTGACCAGCAGAGCACACCTCAGACGTGGCAGAGCCTGGCCCTGTCTTCTGCAGTGGAAATCCTCCTCAAATGCAGAGTTCCTCGTGGTGGTGGACTGGACTGCTCTGGGTCTCACACCCCGAGACTGCTGGGCATCCCCAGTTCCAAGGACGGAGCCCAGCACTGCGGGTGTTGGTGGTCTTTGGTCCCGTGTCCCTGAGCCAGAACTGCAGCGCCACTTGGTGCCCACACTGGACACAGGAAAGGAAAGTGATGGGCAACCGTCCACTAGCCTGTCTTGGGGCTCTAGCCTGAAGGCCTTGGTGGGAGGCTGTGCACGTCCCTTGTCACCATGCAGTGCCAGTCTGAGTGTGGAGGAGGGCCACTGAAACCTCGGACTGCCCCGTGGAGTGAAGCATAAACAAGGAGCTTTCCTGGGCTGGCTGCCTGGCCAGTGGTCACTGGAGAAGGAGGGTGGGCCACCCTGAGGGTGCAAGGTGGGCTGCCGCCAGGCATGGGAAGCCCCTGGGAGCCAGGATTGGGAGCCGCTGGGCCCACCCTCTGCCAGCTGCCCAGGGGAGTTGGGGCACCAGAGCCCTGACTCCAAGCAGTAACATTCAGATGTGGGTGCCCAGCCTTCGCCAGCGGGTACTGCCCACCAGCCCTCAGGGCAACTTTGTTTGCAACCTGCCCTTGCCTCACAATGGGAAGCCAAGCAGGCAGGCAGAGCACGCTGATTTTAGCCTCTAATCCTGAAGCTTTGTGTTAGTTTCAGAGCAGCCACGAGGTGTTACTGGCAGAGGCTCTGAAGAAGAGCTGTGGAAAGGGCAGGACAGCTGCGGGCAGGCAGCCCAGGCCTCTTCCCCTGCCCGGCTGTGAAGCTTGGGCCCACAGATGGTTAAGACTTGCCCGCGCCCACGGTGCCTTCGGAGGGCCCTCGAGGGTGACCACGCCGCAGCCGTCCTGGGCAGACCGCGCAGAAGTCCCCTCGCCCTGCAGCTGAGGCCACCCCTTCTGCCTGACGGGGGGCCCTGGGTCCGTGGCACAGTGCTTTCTCTTAGTTTTCTTAGTTTTTCTGTGTGCTCCCCCTCCCGCCCCCTTTCTTGGCTTTTAATCTGCCAGACACACACCTGGTGGTTTACAGTGGTTCCATCTGGGCACAGGGGCCCCCACAGGAGCTGACTGTGTGATGGCAGCCAGAGCGTTTCACCTGCCTGGACAAAGGCCACACACTTGGCTCAAAGCAGCAGCCTGGTTACGCTGTAGCGTGCAGTCTGTTCCTGCTGACTAGTCCCTATGCCCGGCCTTGGGGCATGGCCCAAACTGTGTGTGGAGGTGCCTTCTGGGCCAAGACAGCAATGGATGGAGTGGGTTCCCCTCTGGATGGGACAGTTGCTGCCCCAGAGGCTGCATGGGTTCCTCGCCTGTCTCCCCTATTCCAGGGCAACTAGTGTCCTGAGATGGGCAACAGGGAGGGGTTGTTTGAGGCCTCCAGGATGAAATGGCTAGTTATTAGCTTTTTTCCCCTAGTTTTTTAGTTTCTACCATGTTGGTTTAACACGTTAAAAGTGGCTTTTAATGGAGACAGTCTCCTGGTGGCCATCCTTACACAACGCCCACTGAGGACCCGCACTCCTGGGCGGCTGAGCTGTGCACCTATCAGGGGACAGCCGTGGTGGGGCAGGACTGCCGTGCCTGGGAGAGGTGGGATGAAGCGTCAGGGCAATTTCCTCCTGTGATCGTGTTTGCCATCAGTGAGGTGCGGACAGGATTGCACATCAGCCTTCCTAGCGGCGTTTCCTTAAGCACCTCTCACCCCGCCTCCCCTGGCCCGTAGCAAGGTCTTGGGTTCAGGCCAGGTGGTGTCCAGGGGGGAAAGGGGACACGTGCCAGCGCCAGGCCCGGTCGCGTCTGAAGGTGGGTTTGTGTCGCCATCTGGTGGTGGCGCCCGTGCAGTGCCGCCCCGAGGCTGGCAGCCCCTGTCCCACATCCCATGGTGGGTTCATGCTGCCATCTGGTGGTGGTACCCGTGCCACGTCAGGGCAATTTCCTCCTGTGATCGTGTTTGCCATCAGTGAGGTGCGGACAGGATTGCACATCAGCCTTCCTAGCGGCGTTTCCTTAAGCACCTCTCACCCCGCCTCCCCTGGCCCGTAGCAAGGTCTTGGGTTCAGGCCAGGTGGTGTCCAGGGGGAAAGGGGACACGTGCCAGCGCCAGGCCCGGTCGCGTCTGAAGGTGGGTTTGTGTCGCCATCTGGTGGTGGCGCCCGTGCAGTGCCGCCCCGAGGCTGGCAGCCCCTGTCCCACATCCCATGGTGGGTTCATGCTGCCATCTGGTGGTGGTACCCGTGCCATCCGGAGTGTTACTGTTCTGCACCCAGCTAGGTGTAAATTGCATTTTGACATATTTTTGTTATGAATACACATGAAAAATGACAGTTTTCTGTGCTACTTAGCTGCTAATGATTGAACAGGGAAAAAAATAACTGCTAGGCTCTGCCATTCGACTGGGAAATGTGATTACCATCCAGGGAAAACCGCCCAGTTCCCGTGCTGACTGGCGGTGTAGCCATGTGGAAACGCTGCTCAATTAGCTGTGCCGTGTTACAGGCCAGAATCCAATTGTGGACGTGGCAGAGGATGGCCGAGATAAGCCGAAACTGCCAAATGAGAAAGATGAGATGGAGCAGGCCCAGATCAAGGGCCCCGTGAACGTGCCCCAGAGGGAAGCCGCCAAGGAGAAGCAGGAGGAGGCGCAGGAGGAGGCGCAGCTGGACCGCCCTGGCCAAGGTGGTGCCGCTCAGTGGGGGAGGGGTGTGCTCAGGCCATGGCTCTTCCCCTCAGCCCTGCCCAGGTTCTGGTCCTTTCTGCCTTTATTCTGGTGCACACAGATGCTCCCCTGGACAAAGCCACTGGCTTGCAGCCTTCTGTGTAGTTTTCTAGAAATAGCAGCAGTCCTCAGCTAGGCAGCAGTTGGATCTGTAAGAGTGGCAGTTGCTGGCCTGTGTCCACCATTGGACACTAGACCTGGTTTCACATCCCTGGGAAGTAAGTTGGGGCCGTCCTCCCCTACGTGCTCCCCTACATGTCCTCTTGTCTTCCAGGCATTGCCGTACCCATGGGTGAGGCCCACCGCCATGAACCCCCTATCCCTCATGACAAGGTGGTAGTGGACGAAGGTCAAGACCGAGAAGGACTGGAGGAGAATGAACATCTGTCCAAACATGAGAATGAAAAGTCTCCAGAAGGCAAGGAACAGATGGTGCCACCTCTGCCAGATTCAGAAAGAGAGAGACGTGGACAGGACCAGGCCTTGGGGGCTGAGGCTGGTCTTCCTGAAGATCCGCAGAAGGTTCCAGAAGAAAATGGTCAGCCAGCCATAGAGCCTGTGAAGGAGGACCTGGGGCCAGGCAACAGGGGTCTGCATCCAGGGCCCCAGGCAGCGCTCCCTGAGAGGCAGGACACCCTGGCGGTGGGTGCAGGGGAGAGAGGAGCTGGGGCCCTGCCGCTGGGCCCTGCCGGCGGAGCCGTGGAGAAGCTGGAGGAGAGGGGTGAGCCTGGCGGGCGTCGGCGTGGGCTTGTCTGGGCAAACTCCCCTTCCCCTGGAGAGGACCTTTGGTGTGGGGCTCCGGAGAGGCTGGGCTTGGGCCAGAGGAAGGATCTTTCACGAGGTCGGCACGGAAATGGGGCAGCCCCTCCGCAGCTGCTGGGGAACCTGGGGTCTGCTGGCTTGCAGCTGCTCCAGTGTCTGTCACACAGGTGTTTGCTGGACCACTGACCGTCAGAGCTGCGCCGCCCTGTGCCTGGGTGCACACGGGCCGGCGCAGAGAGCGCTGGCAGGTGCTGGCCTGGCTCAGTGCCCTGAAGCTGATGAGGCTGGTTCCTGCATGTTGATTGGCGGAGGCAGTTAATGCTGGCTGCTGCCACCAGCCTTTTTTTATCACTTCCCTGGTAATCACCAGGCTGCACAGGAACTGCTGATAGGAGGGCAGGCCGAGGGAAAGGTCATCTGGGGAAACGTCTGCCTCCTTTGTCCCTCCTCTGCCTCCCGTGCCCCCCTGACCTCTGGGTTTCTTACACACCTCCTGAGTCCTCACCATGTGCACAGGTGGGAAGGCCCCCCTCCCAGTGAGGCCGTTCGCTGGGGCTGGGCAGGCGGAGCCCCGAGAGCAGAGGCATGTGGAGGCACAGGGCGGGGGCCACCCTGGCAGCAGGCTGGAAGGTAAGGCTTCTCTCACCTTGGGCCTGCCCTCCCTGCGGGCCCCGGGGAGGACAGTGGAAGGGCCTTCACAGCCACCCCACGCTCAGTGCCTTCAGGCCTCCCACTGAGGAAGGCCTTAAATAACCCCCTCTTCCCACTGACAGCTTTTCTCTGGCACTTCCTAGGGATATTTGTTAATCTCCTTTCTTCTCTCAGAAAAAATCTGTCTCTGGCACATGGTTTCCCATTAGCACTCGTAATTCACCTCCAGGCAGGTACCTTAATGTTCCCACCCTGGGTCGCGTCGAGAGCCGGCCAGGTGTGGGCCCTAGTGTGCTGCTGCATAGCTGATATGGGGTGCGCCTTCCAGGGGCTCGGCTGGGAGGCCCAGGGGGGCGTACTGCTCTTAGTGCCCCTCTCCGCAGTGGCCCAGCCCTGCATCAGCCCCCTCAACTGGGGCACGTTTGTGAACCTGCAGCAAAACTCCAGAACCTGCCCTGAAACAAGCTGGCCATACCTCCCTCTCCAGCAAGCGACTCGCTCTGCATGCTCCACCCCTTCCTGCCCATTTCGGGGGCTCCAGCTCTCAGCTGCCCTGCGGCCTCACCCATCTGGCTCTGGCTCTGTGGCAGAGGTGGTGACGGCTGTTCTGGCTCACGACCTTCCATCCTGGTTTCCCTGGTGACTGGCAGGCTTCTGAGCCCCCGGGTTGCCACCGTCCTGGGTGGCTGTTCCCTGGGGTTGACGTATGTCGTCACAGCAGAGCAGCCTCAGGTGGGGTTCATGAGGTGTGCACTTCGCCGCCTCCCAGGGGGCTTGGTCGCCCAGGGCACTTGGGCGGGGATGCGGCCGAGCCTGTGACCACGCAGGGGCTGGAGCCGAGAGGTGCTCTGGCTTCTCCAGAGGTGGAGCCACTTCAGGTGTTTGACACACAGTATATGCCTATGGTTTTAGCTCCTCCCTGTTTACCAACTCCCATCCTTATATTCTGTGACCTAAACCTATTTGATTCTTTGGTTTTTTTCTTCCTGAAAAGAGAATTTTCACAGTTTCCTATTCTGCCTTTCTTCTGTATGCTTCTCAATGGGATGAACAGCTGAAATCAAAAAGATAGTAGCAGGTATGAGCCCAGAGGAGTGTGGCACAGAAAAGGCCACTCACAGAGAAGTTACAGATGCAGGAACACAGTGCAGGCTTGCCGCCCAGTAGCAACCCTACACAGAGCACATGGGGCAGGACCCCGGGAGCCACACAGTGTGCCCCCAGTCCAGCCCCGGCCCTGAGCTCAGCCACAACCTCTCAGCTGGGGACCCCTGATGCCCCTCCTTGTCCCACTTTCACACATGCCCCAGTCCTCCTGAGCGCTGCCGTGCGCCTCTGTGGCGACGGGAAGGCTGTGGAAGCCCCGCCGAGCTGGGAGTGGGCTTGAGTGTGACTGTTGCCATGTGCCCAGCCCGATGTTAATGCTTTCTGCATGTACATTAACATCTGGGCAACTCATCCCATCTGAGAGCCTGGTCCCCGTGGCCCTGGTGGGCTGGGCTCTGGCCGTGAGCACAACTTGTCACCTCCACTGTGTTTCCGTCTGTCCTGTGTGTCACTTCTGGCTGCACCTGGTGCTGCTTGCCCCTCCCCGGCACAGGTCTGGGGGTAGGGGGTTCCTGAGACCCGGGTGAGGGGCGGGGCTGCTCCTCTAAGTCTGTGCCGGGGACAGCAGTATGGGTAGCACGTGGGGCCACCCTTTCACCAGTGACACTTAGATGGTGATGAGCTGTAGGCACCCATGGGGACAGGGTGGCCCATGGTGAAGGTGGCTAGTCTAGAACCCTGTGGGAACAGCTGTGCACCCCTCACGGGAATGGTGGTGTCAGGACCCAGTCTGATCACAGAACCTCTCGGGCAAGTGTCTTGATGACCTTGGGACATCTGGATGTGTGCCCGGCAGGGGGCAGGGCTGCTGCACTGGTGCTGGCCCAGGGGTCCCGTTCTCTGTGTGGCCCCATCCTCCCTGTGGTCCTCCATGTGGCCGTCTCTGCATAGTCCTGTCCTTCCTGTGACCTGACATCCTGTCCTCTGTGTGGTCTTATCCTCTGCATGGCTGTGTCCTCTGCATGGATGCCCTCTCATTCATGTGGCTGTGTCCTCTGGCCACTGTCCTGTCCTCCGTGTGGCCCTATCTTCCTGTTCTGTGTGTGGCTGTGTCCATTCCATGGCCCTGTCCTCCCCTCGGTTGGCTTCTGCATGCCTCTCATGGGCCTGCCCACCTGCACGTCTTTGCACCTGTCTCTAGGGGGGAAACCATTGCAGTCTTTGGGAGAAGGCCAGGCCCAGGCTGTTGTGGCAGGACACAGGTCACTATTGGGGAGGACAGGCCAGCACATGGGGGCCCTTGCTGGGAAGCTCACAGTCACTGCTCACAAAGCCTTCCCCCATTGGGATCTGAGCCTTTAGTCGTGGCAGCCCCTAACCAGAGCTCCCTACCTAAGCCTACATGCTGTAAAGTGACCCACGGCTGCTTTCTGAGCTGGTGCTGAGGCGTCCGCTGTAAGCTGCGCATGCCCTGCGCACGCACGGGTGGCACTGCTGGCACTGGGGGTTCAGACTCGGACATTCCCCTGTTCTTCCCCTGGGCCCACATGGGTGTGGCAGAGAGCACCGTGGGGCCCTCGCACATGCCCCTGCTGGGCCTGGCCTTTCCTCTGCTCTCCCAGCGCTCCTTTCACGCCAGCCTGCAGCCCGTGTCCTGGGGGTGGTCAGAGTGGAATCAGGACTCGGGGGCGTCTGCAGCTGGCCTCAGCTCCCATCTCCACTGGAAAGGAAGGTGGTTCTGCTTTTAAAATTCCCACAAAGTGCCATTCTGGCGTAGAATGCCATTCCCCGCCAATCGTCGCTGTTCCGGGACCTCCTGCTGGGCTTTCCTCTTGGCCTCTACTCCCAGTGAGACAGTCAGGGCGACCAGCATCCCACTGGGGGCGTCCAGACCCCGGGCTGGTGGGAGAGCCAGGCCATTAGGCTGGTCGCAGGCTGTGCCCCGGGACGGCCTCGCAGAGGAGCTGCAGCACAGGGTCCCCTTGGTGACCTCGGTGCTGTGGTCGGGTGTCACGCTACCCTCACCCCAGCGCGCGAGCCCGGCCACCCCGCGGGCTCTGACGGTGTTTTCTGGACCAGAAGCCGGCCGGGTGGAGATGCTGGACCACGCCGTCCTGCTGCAGGTGATCAAGGAGCAGCAGGCGCAGCAGAAGCGGCTGCTGGACCAGCAGGAGAAGCTGCTGGCGGTGATCGAAGAGCAGCACAAGGAGATCCACCAGCAGAGGCAGGACGGCGAGGAGGGCAAGTCCGGCTGCCAGGGGGCCCGGGCAGGTGGCGGCGGCGGGCCGGCAGGCTGGGCGGGGGCGGGCTCCACCTGGAGGGGTGGGGAGGCGTTGTCACGTGTCCCTGTGCAGCTGGGTCCGGGGCTCTGTGGCCTGGAGTCCTGCTGGGCAGGTCCCAGCACCAGTGCGCACTTCTTACCTGCCAGCGCGGGTCTGATCAGTCCTTGTGCAGGCAGCTTCTGCTTGTTCCCAGGGCTAAACTGATAGCCGACTTCGCTTGCAGTGGACGTGCAGCCTGAGCCCGGGGTGGCCGCACCCCAAGGGAAGGAGCAGGAAGCCCAGGACAGAGGGACGGTGGGGCGTCCTCCCCCGCGGCCTTTGGAACCTGTACTCAGAGCTCCTGGGCGAGCCCCAGCTCTGCCCCAGGGGCATGGCCAGCACTCCATGGAGGATGCCGAGGTGACCGCAGGCAGAGCCCCTGCCAGTCCGCCCAGTGGTGCAGACGTGAAGCCCCGGGCAGCTCTGACTGAGCCGAGGGAAGGCCAGAAGGGCGCTGTGCCCAAGATGGCCAGCTTTGGGGTGCAGGAACGGGTCCCTGTGCCAGACCCTGCTGGGGCACCTGGGGGCCCAGAGGAGCTCATTGCTGGGGAGTTCCCTGGGCAGAGTCAGGATGCTGTGGACGGGGGCTCCCGTGCAAGGAAGAAATCTGGGAAGGAGGCAGTGGCTGTGGGTGCCGGTGTGCAGGAGGCAGACGTGCTGGGGGTGGGAGCAGAGATAGGGGACCCTCACGTGAAACCCCAGCAAGGGAGCCAAGACCTGGCTCCTGCAGGCCTCGCCAGCAGGTCGGGGGGAGCAGCGCCTCAGGCCCAGGCTGTGTTACATCAGCCGGAACCCCAGACCATCTCTGCCAGGGGTCTGGGTGGGCAGCAGCGTGGGCAGCCAGCGGTGAGGAGGCAGGCCCTTGGCAGAGGCCACGGGCCCACTCCTGGGGAGGATGTCGCCCTCCAGGAGCCTGAGCACAGGCAGGACTCTGATCTCGGGCCCAAACTGCCTGTCTCGGGGGGTCAGAAGCCAGACTACGCCAAACCCAACCGAGACCTGAAAGTCCAGGCCGACTCTGACCTTCGGAGGAGACGGCGGGATGTAGCCCCTGGTGCAGAGGAGGCGGCCCCGAAGGACAGGGTCATCATCAGCTTTAACCGCCTGCCTGACATGCAGGTCAGCGATCTCCGTAGTGCCCTGGAGAGCCAGCTCCACCAGGCTGCAGGGGGCGCTTTGCGGATGGTCCCTGGCCGCGAGATCAAACAGTTGCCCAGGGCCCTGGAAGAGCCCTGAGCGCCTGGTAGTGGCCGCCATCCTCCTGGTCACCTAGTCTCACCCAGCCACACCCAGGCCACCGTGAACCTGGACCACAAGTGGGTGCTGAATTCCAAAGGTCACTCTCTGGAGTGGATGTCTGAAAACTCTCTCACTGCAGCATCATTTTCCAGAAGGATCTACAGCCCCTGTCCCACCTCTGAAACTTCTCTGGGTGGCTCTGAGCTCACCACAGCCTCGAGGAGAAGCAGTGCTGGTTGAGACTCTAAGGGGACGTGGCCTCTGCCTGTGTAGGGCCCCGAGGTCTGTGACTGCCACCTCCACTTCCTCTGAGACGGTGATCCTGTGTGGCCGGGGCAGCGGCCAGCCTGCCCTGAGGGGTCATGGATTAGGGGTTGGCACCAACTGCAGCCCTGACACAGGCTGCCGGGAGAACCACCCGCCCACCAGACTTCCAGTTACTGTTTCGTTATTTATCTGAGGTTCTCTGAGTGTTGTAGGAAACCTCAGTAAACCCTCTGCCTTCAATCTGCTTCTCCGTGAGTCCTGCCCCCTCCTAGGGGCCCCTCTGCCCTGTTCACAGTCAGCTCTGCTCTCCACATTTGGTGCTTTCCCAAACTGTCAATAAGGTTTTTAAAAAATAAAACCTGGTCAGTGAAGCTGGTGTTGAGGGGTTGCCTAAAGGGAATGGTCAGCATTCCTTATGACCAATATAGAGCGACATGCATGCATTTGTGACGGTGACAAGGGAGCCAGACGCACAACACCCCCAGAGAGACCCTGTGAGCCTGCACACCTGTGCTTCCTGGCGCTCACCTAGGCCTCAGGGTGGGTCTGCAGCGCTCCAGGCCCTCCTTGCTGCGCCCAGCTCATCAGTTGTGAGGACTTTCATGGTGTTTTATCTTCGAGAGCAGGAAAGCCAGTGGTCGCCCACAGCTCCAGAAGCCTGGTCAGCAGGCATCCCTGGCAGGCGAGGTGGGCCGTCCCGCCCACTGGCCAGCCTTCAGTGCTTTGTCCAGTGCGGGCCGCTCACTGGTCCCCAGCCAGAGGTCACGCGGAAGGCTCCAGCCTTGGCCGCGGATCCTGCTCTACCCCTGTGCCTCTTGAAATCATTTTTATTTTTTATTGTAGCTTCTATGTCACTGGGCAGCCTGAAGTCTAGGAAGGAGTAAGGAGTGGAGTTTTCACTTCCAGGACAGAGCCGATCCCTCCTGAACCTGGGGGGTGGGGGTGGGGGGCAGCTGCTGCTCCTGCAGAGGAAGCACCCCTCACAGGGGGCAGGTCTCAGGGTGCTTCCTCTCCTTTCCTAAGTAAGTGGTTCCAAACCATGCCGGTGGGGAAACACCCTCTGGCTGGTCCCCTCAGATTGGAACCCCATTTGTTAGGCACTCGAGTGGGATTTTAGCAGCCCTGTTTACCTGAATAGCTCACTTTGATCCAGGCTCGTGCCCTTTTTTCTGCCAAGATAGTCCTCAGAGCTATGCCGTGGTGCCCTGGGCCCTCCACCCACCACGCTAGCCTCCTGGCTTGGGCCACTCCCTCCCCCAGCCACGGCCCCCAGGACTGCAGGAAGCCTTTGGGGAGGGGCTTTGCTTTCTGCCCACCCCTCTGTGTGGGTCCCTGCGCTGGTAGGTGTGACCAGGTGTCCTGGCCGAGCAGTGAGCTGGGCCACCAGCGGGTGGCCCCGTGTTGGCGGCTGCACTCCGTGGACATGGGGTATGGCCCACCTGTGCCACTGGGACAGGACCCTGCCTGTGAGAGCCCAGAGCAGGGCCACGAGGCCAAGACCAGGGTGAAAAGGCTGGGTCAGGGCTGAGCAAGGGCCCCACCAAGTGAGGATGGAGACCTGGCAGAGCTATCAGAGAAAGTCAGATGCCACCCAAGGGCCAGGACAGGCAAAGGGTCGGAGCCGCGCATGGGGATTCCACATGACACAGCCGAGACGATGGCAGAGGGGTCTTCGTTGCATCCCCACACCAACTAGGTTGAATCCCCTTGGTCTTAAGCATGGTCTAGAGGATGAACGAGTGTGGGAAGCCACCGTGGGGCAGGGACAAAGGCCGAGGGGGCAGAGGGCTGTGCGCGGCGTGGCCTGTCCTGGCAGCAGCTGTGGCTGGTGTTCATAAAGGCTGGAAGGAGTGCACCTGATGGGACGGTTCTGGAGGGCTGGGAGCAGCGTGCCCCTGGAGGTGCCCAAAGGTCTAGCCAAGAGGCATCAGAGGTCAGAGTGGAGCATGTGGAAGGGTCAGGAAGTCTGTCCTCGGACTGGATGCACCTGCTGGGCCACACGGTGAGGTCTGGGACACAAGACAGGAAAGGGGTGAGGCACTCTCGGCAAACCTGTTCCCTGGCTCAGCCCCTCTGCTCAGGCACCCCAGCCAGGGCAGGAGCTTCCCCTCCGAAGCCACCCTGGGAGCTGCGTCTGATGGGTGGGCACTCACTTCCCGGGGACGTGGGGCCTTTGCCTCCCAAGGGGAAGTCGGACCAGCTCTGGAGCGTTTGGGGAAACAAGCTCACAGGCTCACTGCATCTGACCTGGACTCTGGGACCCGGGGTGGGCGGCACTCAAGGATCCAGGCCCCCGGAGGGGCTCATGGAGGGTCCCCGTGTGTCGAGCAGTCTGTGCGGGGACCTGGGGACTCAGCTGGCCTGGCACGAGGGGGCCTGCCAGGCTTGTAGGGTGAGGGAGGTGCTGCACCTCGATCTTACTGAGGATGGTGGGGAACTAGAGGGGTCAGGGGCTTGGGCCCTGACTTCAGAGGAGGCTGCACAAGGTGGGGAGCCACGCACGAGGCCCGCAGCCCCAACGCCTACCGCTCTGGACCCACTCTTGGCTTGTGCCTGTCCTCACTGCCTTGCTGGTAGGACAGCGATCCCCTCCTTCTCCAAGTCCACGTGGGATCCCCCACAGTGCGGAGCCCTCTCTGGGTGCCCTCTGAACCAGCAGCCATGTTTCTGGTTGGAATTTTTTAAGGAAACTCCTGAGCAGTCTGTTCCTGTGGCTCAACCCTGCCGGCTTCCTGGGGAGAGGCCACGCCCACACACACCCAGTGAGACAAGACAAAGACAGCTCTGAAGTGCGTGCATGGTCTTTATTTACCGCATTGTGCTTTCTTTGTGTCCACAATGCTGGAAACCAACCCCCCGCCCCGCCACGGCTCGCCCTGACAGGGCAGGGCTCCGGTCCTTGTAGCTCCAAGAGCTTGGGATACTGTAGCTGTGTGCCCGGGGGACATCAGTGCCAGGTGCTCGGCTTCACGCCCTCAGCAGCAAACAGGTGGCAGGCAGCACTTGGTCCTAAAAGCCTCCCTTCAGAGTCGTCTTGGCCTGGAGGGCAAAATATTTAGTCTGAATGGGTTGTTTCCAAGTTAGATGTGGCTCCTAAGTAAGAGAACTACCACACCAAATGCCACTTACAACAAATACCTCAAGGGGAGCCTAGCCGTGGATGTGAGGCAGGGGGCGCAGCTGGTCAGAGCTCTGGGGGCTGGGTCTCTGTCCAGCTTTCCAGGGTAGGGCCCCATCAGCTCTGCGATGCTGTGACACGGAGCAGACCTTAAAGCCACCCCTGACCCCGTCTAGCAGAAGTTGCTTCTGACAGGACATCTCAGGTCACATGCTGAAACACTTGCCCAGGGACCCCCACAAGCAGCTTGGATCACAGGCCGAGTGGCCAAAGACAGATTAGTCAGCGCACTTCCTTGTGGTGGGAAACACTCAAGCACCCCATCCTGAGCTGCCAGTCTGGCCTGCAGTTAGTTCACCTTTGGTGAAGAATGGGCATGAAATAGCAAGGGGCTCCTGGGGGCCGAGCCTGCACTGTGGGGACATCTCTGATTGGGACGAAGTGGCGCGAGGAGGTCAGAGGTGACAGGTAACTAACTCCCCACCAAGCTCAGGAGGTGGAAGAGAAAATCCTGTGTGCACCTCAGTTGTAAATCCAGCCGGCAACCAGAGTGAAGGCCTGTCTCACCTCTGGGGGTGCTGAAAAGCAGGGAGGCTGCCAAGGGGCAGGAAGCAAGTCCAGGGGACAAGTGCCCCCATCAGATCTGAGGTTGTGACAAAGGCCAGCTGGGTGGAGGGGGGCCAGAGGAGGTGGTGTGTCCTGGCCATAATAATCGTGAGGAAGGTGCAAGGAGTTCTCCGAGCCCTCCAGGAAACCAGTATGGGAACCACCTTCCTGGGCTGAAGACGCGGGTACCCTGCCTACTCAGCCTTCCTGCTCTGGATAATCGGAAATGTAGGAAACTGCCTCGAACCCTGAACTCCACTGACCTCACCCAACTGCCCTTTCTGCAGTCCAGTCCTCCGATCAGGGTGCCTAGGGTGGGACCCCGTCCAGGTTCCCTGAGAGCTCACCACCCCGAACCTCCTCAAATTCCACCTCCTCCGCGACCTTCCCAGATACACCTCAACACCCACACTAATTCTTGGTGTGCAGCGCTTGATTTTCACGAGGCTCACTGGCGCAGTGTGTGATCAGGCCAAAAATGCGTGGCTCAGTAACACAAAGGACTGGCTGCTCAGCGGTTAGAGGCAAACGGAGGCCAACACCCAGTGAGACAAGACAAAGACAGCTCTGAAGTGCGTGCATGGTCTTTATTTACCGCATTGTGCTTTCTTTGTGTCCACAATGCTGGAAACCAACCCCCCGCCCCGCCACGGCTCGCCCTGACAGGGCAGGGCTCCGGTCCTTGTAGCTCCAAGAGCTTGGGATACTGTAGCTGTGTGCCCGGGGGACATCAGTGCCAGGTGCTCGGCTTCACGCCCTCAGCAGCAAACAGGTGGCAGGCAGCACTTGGTCCTAAAAGCCTCCCTTCAGAGTCGTCTTGGCCTGGAGGGCAAAATATTTAGTCTGAATGGGTTGTTTCCAAGTTAGATGTGGCTCCTAAGTAAGAGAACTACCACACCAAATGCCACTTACAACAAATACCTCAAGGGGAGCCTAGCCGTGGATGTGAGGCAGGGGGCGCAGCTGGTCAGAGCTCTGGGGGCTGGGTCTCTGTCCAGCTTTCCAGGGTAGGGCCCCATCAGCTCTGCGATGCTGTGACACGGAGCAGACCTTAAAGCCACCCCTGACCCCGTCTAGCAGAAGTTGCTTCTGACAGGACATCTCAGGTCACATGCTGAAACACTTGCCCAGGGACGGGGCTCACTGGGACGGAGCTGGGATTGGGAGCCTGAAGCCTTTGTGCCGACTCACGCAGCCCCCACAAGCAGCTTGGATCACAGGCCGAGTGGCCAAAGACAGATTAGTCAGCGCACTTCCTTGTGGTGGGAAACACTCAAGCACCCCATCCTGAGCTGCCAGTCTGGCCTGCAGTTAGTTCACCTTTGGTGAAGAATGGGCATGAAATAGCAAGGGGCTCCTGGGGGCCGAGCCTGCACTGTGGGGACATCTCTGATTGGGACGAAGTGGCGCGAGGAGGTCAGAGGTGACAGGTAACTAACTCCCCACCAAGCTCAGGAGGTGGAAGAGAAAATCCTGTGTGCACCTCAGTTGTAAATCCAGCCGGCAACCAGAGTGAAGGCCTGTCTCACCTCTGGGGGTGCTGAAAAGCAGGGAGGCTGCCAAGGGGCAGGAAGCAAGTCCAGGGGACAAGTGCCCCCATCAGATCTGAGGTTGTGACAAAGGCCAGCTGGGTGGAGGGGGGCCAGAGGAGGTGGTGTGTCCTGGCCATAATAATCGTGAGGAAGGTGCAAGGAGTTCTCCGAGCCCTCCAGGAAACCAGTATGGGAACCACCTTCCTGGGCTGAAGACGCGGGTACCCTGCCTACTCAGCCTTCCTGCTCTGGATAATCGGAAATGTAGGAAACTGCCTCGAACCCTGAACTCCACTGACCTCACCCAACTGCCCTTTCTGCAGTCCAGTCCTCCGATCAGGGTGCCTAGGGTGGGACCCCGTCCAGGTTCCCTGAGAGCTCACCACCCCGAACCTCCTCAAATTCCACCTCCTCCGCGACCTTCCCAGATACACCTCAACACCCACACTAATTCTTGGTGTGCAGCGCTTGATTTTCACGAGGCTCACTGGCGCAGTGTGTGATCAGGCCAAAAATGCGTGGCTCAGTAACACAAAGGACTGGCTGCTCAGCGGTTAGAGGCAAACGGAGGCCAGACTGCAGGCGGAGCGGCTGTGCCACCACCGTGCTGCTGTGCGGGGAGAGGCCGCCTCGCCCAGCCTTGCGTATGAAGTAGGCAACCTAGGACACATCCTACATTCTCCTTCCTCCCTCCGTAAACCCGGGGTGTAGGGAGAAGGGCGCCCCTCGGTGGGGCTGGGTGGACCCGGCGGTAATGGGGTACACACGGGGGTCGTAAACACCAATGACACTAAGAGCAGGTACTGGAGTCCTGGGTTGGGGTCCCTTGGGGGGTTACTCCCCGGCGGCAGTACTGTCACTGTCTCCACAATGGGGTGGTGCTCCCCCCACGTGACAGGCCCGTGGCGGCGGGGGTCGCGAGGGCTGCTGGGCTAGAGCCCCGTGTCTGCGGCTCCAGCAGGCGGCCACCACCAAACGCAAGGAAAGGGCACACGGGGGTCCCCGCCCCCCTGGGCCCCTCCGCCAGACGGGGTCCACCTACCGCGGCGGCGAAGCAGCTCCGCAGGGCCTCGAACTCCCGCGCGCAGCAGTCCTTCCTCAGGCGGCCGCCAGGGGCCGTGGACGTCTGCACGCACCGGCCGTAGGCCGCGGCCTGGGGGTGGGCGGGGGCGGGCGTCGCGGTGGCCCCTGCACCCGCGGGTCACCGGGCACACCCCGCCGCCGCCCGACCCCGCCTGCGCCCGTGCCCTCGGTCACGCCCCGCCGCCCGCCCGATGTCTCCTTACCTCGGCCGCACAGGCAGCCAGGCCCTCAGGGAAGACGCGAGGGCCCTGTTCTTCCCGATGACTGCAGGACAAGGATGGCCCTCAGGTCCTTGAGAAAGATACTCCTGTAGGAGTTTCATGTTCACAACTGTGAGCCCTTTTTAGTAAATGCTCCGAGGTGGGTGGGGAGCCTGTTACCAGGCGCTGGTCAAAACAAGCAGTAAATTCTTCCGGCAGCCTTGAGCTCTCTCAGACAGGTGTTTTAGGGGCACTGGGTCAACCTTATGATGCCAGAAGCCCCGCCAGTCCTCTGTGTGCAGAGGTTTCGTTACATGCCTGGACATCTGTAGTTCTACAGATCTGTCCAGCTCCCCTTTGGGTCTTGGCGGACAAATAGTGTAATACTTGTGTGTGCAAAGCGTCACATGACCTTCAGGTACGTGCTGTTGTGACAGTAGACTGCTGCGGTTCAGAATGTTGTCTGTGGCCACCGCCCTGCAGTCCCCATGTGAGTCATTCTTCTCATCCCTGAGGTCCTCTGTCCTGTCTTTGCGGTGGGGCTCATGCCTCCCTGGACGCTGAATGACATGGGAACAGGCGTTTCCGGTTTTCATCCCTGTAACGGTCACTCATGGGTAGGGGCTGTCACTCCCTTTCAGCTCCCGATTCTCCTGAAGGGAACATCGGACGATGATGTCCCATGTCCAGGCTACCTGTTTGAGGAGATCGCAAGTATCCTTCCTTTTCATCCGTGTGTGGGAGCCATGGAGGAGAATGGGGGTTCCTGGGATTCTCCTGCCCTGCACGGTCTGCAGCTCCTTTACTGTAGTGATCGGGGGTGGGTGAGACCTAAAAGTCACGTCACGAACAGCAGAGCCCCGGAGACCCTGAAACCAGGGCCTGGGGCAGGTGCCTGCAGGGTGGACACCCTGAGAAATCCAATGGCAGGAAGGCCGGGTTTCTCTTCCCAGCCAGCCCAGCCTAGTGTGGCCTGGGGTCAGCTCGCCCCTTCCCTAACCTGAGCACCTCCCAGAAATTTCCCACGAGTCCCTGGGCAGCAGCCAGTGCCTCCTGGAGTACCTTCTGAACCGTCTGCACAGCGGGTCTGGCCGAGTGAAGCTCAAGGTAAGTCCATGAGTGACCCCCACAGACACTCCCAGGGGACCAGTCAGGGCCTGAGCTCCTGCCTGTGGGGGGTTGGCTCTGTGCTGAGCAGGGTCCCCCACGTGACTGCCCCAGGTGCTGAAGATCATGCTCCACCTGTGTGCTCACGGCTCCCCGTCCTTCCTGCTCATCCTCAAGCGTGACCCCACCTTCATCCAGGAAGCCGCAGGTACTGGGGGTGCACAGCCCTGGGGAGGCCTGCGCCCCCGTCTCACCAGCCAGGCGTTTCTCTGCTCCAGCCCCACCCCAACCCCCAGCCCCTCCATGCGCCCTGAGCCCTCGTGCCCTCAGTCCTGCCTGCCACCTGGGGGCACCATCACCTGTCTGTGTCTGTGTCCTGCTGGGCCTGGTGCCCAGACATTGCCTGTCACAGAGTTCCACGCTCAGGACGTGCTGGGAGCGTCTGTACCGCCCACAGCCCTGCCACGGGTCTTCTCCCCAGGGTCGCTCCTCAGGGCTCTAGATGGGGTGCTGGCAGCCTCCTGCGGGAGGTCGGGGCGGCGAGGCCTTCCAGAGGGTGGGGCTCTAGCCGGACGTGGTCCAGGCGTCGGGTGGGTCTGGGGTGGATCTGGGGTGGGCCCCCACCCTTCCCATGACCCAGGCCAGGGCTGTTGTGCACCTCACTTGCTGGCAAGGACTTGTGGGGGACGTGGCCTGAGGCCTTCCCCTCTGGTAGAGCAGGCACCCAGCCAGGGTCAGTCTAGGGGGCACACCAACCCTACCCCCCCATGTGCCCTGCGTGAGTCTTTGGGAGGCCTGGCACTCAGGCAAAGACCATCCCCACACAGATGGTCCCTGTGGGGGCAGCACCAGGGAGGGGACCAAGAGCTCTTGGCCACCATTTGCTAGTGGGAGACACTCAGCAGTCAGCACATCCCATCTGCCAGGTGCTGGGACCCATTCCCGGCACCCGCAAGCCCCTGTCACCCCTGTACTGGGGCCGGGCAGCCACACCCAGAGCCTTGGGAGCCTGGGCACAGCTCACCCGGTAGATGTCCAGAGGTGTCCGGGGTGCCTGGGGACTGCATGTGGTCGCAGCTGGGCTGTGGACTGAAACAGCGCAGCCCGTTCATTCTCACCAGCTAGCGGGTGGGCCCCGTGCGGCTGTGGCTGGCACGGGTTGTCCCCTCTGACCCCTGAGGAGAGGGGGTGTAGCAGACTGAGGTTCGAGCCGTGAGCACTGCCCCCAGGGTGAGGAGAGCCCAGAGGGTTTGCCTGGTGCCGTTGGAGCCGTCGGAGACAGGCTGTGTGAGAAGGGGGCCGGGACACGCAGAGGAGGGGCTGTGCAGAGTTGGGCCCCGGGGCGGGAGCAGCAAGGAGGCTGTGCCATCCATCCGCTTGCTGACTAGCTTCCGCTGGGCATGCAGGCTGGTGTCTGTGCACCTTGAGGCTGGCCTGCCTGGTGCAGATGGCAGGGGGGTGCTGCTTCTTGCTCTAGACGGGACCCTGAGATGGTGAGGCCTGCAGTGGGTGGAGAGGCACCCTCAGGCCTGCAGAAGCCCAGAGGATGGAGAACCTGGGTGGGGGGTTGAGGAAGAAAATGGGATTTGCTGCAACTAAGGGGGTGCCCGGCACGCCAAGCCCTTCATCTGTGGTGGGGAGCCGGGGTTTTGTTTATGGCAAGTCCCTGGGAACCTTCAAAGCTTTGAATTGGACGCGACCCCTCCATGTGGCCTCTGGGTGGAAGTGGGGCACGTGGAGGCACGTGGAGGCGGTTAGGCAGCTGATGCAGGGACTCCTGGGAGAGGGGGCGGCCGGCCAGCAGGGGATGCACCTGTGATGCTAAATCACGGGCCTCCCCTGCTGGGGGCCTGGGAGGCAGGGAGGGCAAGGGGCTGTGGGGTGCAGACCCTGGGGCGGGGTTCCTGGGGGCTCCCGGGCTTTGCCCAAGGAGCAGAGGTGCCCAGGAAGGGGCAGCTTCCCCAGGACGGGGGGTGCTGGAGGGAGGCGCTCTCCACTGTAGGGACTCTGACCTGCAAGAGATGTCACAGGGGATTCGAGGTCAGACCTGTGCCTCAGAAAGTTCGTCCAGCTCTGGGGAAGCCTGGGAGGAGGCAGACCTCGGGGCGGCCAGGGGGCTGGGGGCCTGGATGGCCGTAGGCTGTGCCCTCAGGGCGGTCAACAGCGCCCAGCTCAGCTCTGCCCCTCACCTACAGGTTTTGCAGGGCCTCCGGATCCTCTCCATGGGAGCAGTTTGTACCAGAAGGTGCGGGCGGCCGCCCAGGTGAGCCTAGGGCCCGGCTCCACCCCTGCCGCAGGACTAGCGCCCCTGTGTCTGCCAGGTCCTNTTGTTCTCTGACACCTGGCCACCTCCGCCTGCCGCCCAGCCTCCCAGGGTCCTGCCCCCAGCAGGTGTGTGGCCTCATGCAGCTCTGTCACCCTGGGGGGGGCTCGGGGTTTTCTTCCCACCCTGGGCATCCCTGCCGCTGACCCAGGTCCTCCCTGCAGGCATGGGCGCCCAGTGCAGGCCCCAGAGCACCCTCCAGGGCTTCGGCTACAGCAAGGAACAGGGCCGCACAGGTGAGCACTGCGTGAGCTCGGGGGCGCCCAGCCAGGTCCTGTCTGCACCATGTGTTGACTTTGTGCAGCCCTGCGGGAGGGCAGGTAGGTGTGGCCAGGTCTTCTTAAGCAAGAGGTGAGAAGCCAGGCTGAGGGTCAGTCCTCTGCTCAAGCCCCCAGCCCCCGGCTCCTCTGGGGGGCTGAGGGCAGAGGACTGTGGTCCAGGCCACGACTGGCAACTTGGCAGGAGCATGTAGGAACATCAGCCTCGTGACAAGGCTGGGAGTGAACGTGAGGCGGTGGCTGTGGGCGCTGGGCCCGCCTATCCAGCTGCTGTGCTGAGCGTGGCGGGCGCAGCCCTGAGGCCCAGCACTGCCAAGTGCTGACTGCTAGAGCAGGTGTCCCCTGCGGCCTTGCCTCCTCTTACTTTGGGGGTGCTGGCCAGCTCACTTCTCTGTCGGGCACTCACTTAGGCAGGGGCACCCCCAGCCCTGGGTGTGGGCATCCCCAGGCGGCCGTGGAGATCACCAGTTATTGGGATAAGCACCTTAGGAGGCCCCTTGCTCTGAAGTGGGGACCAAGGGGACGCAGGACCTGATTCTGCTGTGAGCTGTGGGGCCCACACTCCACAGGGCCCAGGAATACCCTGAAGTGGATTCACTGAGGGAGGTCCTGCCACACAGCCCCTGTTTTATAACTGCAGTTCATATCCTGGCCCCCGAAGCCCTGAGCAGGAGCCCCCGCAGGCCCCTCATCCTGGGAAAACCTAGGACACCTGGAGGGGCTGGCGCCATCTCCCCTTCCCTCTGGCGCAGGCTCTGCAGGCGAAACCTTCCTCTCCACCATCCAGAAGGCCGCAGAGCTGGTGGCTAACGCTGTGCGCCCTGGGGCTGCGAGCCCCAGCGCCCAGAGGCCCCTGCGGCAGGGTGACACCTACCAGCCCGCCGTGACGCCTGCAGTCAGTGACTCCCTCCTGACTCCTCGGACTCCAGTGCCTGGAGCCGCCCTGGGCACCAGGAGCTGGGGTAAGGCTCCTCCCCAAGGGCCCGGCTTCCCCTTCCTAGGGTCCCGGCGAAGTAAGCCCATTCTTGGCACTGGCTGCAGTGGGGCTCATGGAGCAAGTCACCAGCTGGAAGGGCAAAGAGAGGGTGGGGGACGCAGTGAGCCTGGGAGCTTTGCAGCCTGCCTGCTGGCCCCACCCCCGCTGAGGGGCAGCGCTGCATTTCCATCGGCCACGTGGGAACCCCGCGGAGCCACCAGCTCACTGTGTGTCCCCTGTGGCCTCTGTGAGGGCTTTACCTCATGTGCAGCATCTACATGCTGTGTTGGGACATGGCTTTGCCAGCTGCTCCTAGCAGGATCCTGGGTGTCACGGCCCTGAGGGGCTCTTCCAGGGCAGAAGTGGGGCAGAACTGGGGCGAGAGCTGTTGGAGCCCTGGCCCAGGTTTTGCCCCCCACCCAGAGCCCTTGGGTGGCT